TAACCTAGAGAACAAAATACTTTACATAGTGTCTGAACTTCGTTACAGTCTGGAACACATTTTCTTTCATATAAAATTTTGCTCGAATTCTATGACCACTAGGTTTTATTTTTTAAGAGAAAGAGTCTCGCTTTGTCACTCAGGCTGGAGTGCAGTGGCAGGATCATAGCTAACTTCAGCCTTGAACTACTGGGTTCAAGTGATCCTTCTGCTTCAGTGTCCTACATAGCTAGGACTACAGGTGTGAGCCATCATGCTTGGCTTAGATTTTTAAAAAATATGCACAATAATATGCAAATAAGATCCAATATCTGGCTGAATATGTGCAAGGTATATAATGAAATTCCTATCAGATTTCTCCCTTTATATGAGTTGCTAGGTTTTGCCTCTACTTACAAGTCAAGTGTTTTTTCAAAGACAACATATACTTCTTGGTAAACATATAAATACCATTAAGAGTTAAATACAAGGAGATTGAGAAACCAGAGTGTATTCAAACTTTGAAGCAACATTTGACCTGCAGAAAACATATGACATTAAGTATGATCAGATATGACTGAAATATATAACTCATTTATCAACATTGGTTTGCATAGTTCTTAAAAAGGCAGAAGAATCACTTTTTCTAGCTTACAAATAATTTTCATGTTCAATGGTAGTGACTTTACGTTTCTAAGTCTATCATAGTTGTGTCAGTTACTCCTTAATATATGAGGTCTCCTTCTTCCAACTCATTCTTCACATTGCTGTCAGAACGATCTGTATCAAATGTATCTCTCCTTTTAAATCCTTCAATGGCTCTCCACTGCCCTCAGGATAAAATTCATATTTCATATCAGGGCTCCTGTCTTCCTCTCTACTTTCATCTTCTCTCAGGATTCTATAAATGTTCACTAGTCATAATAACATCCCAGGAACTTACCCATAGTTTTGTTCTTCTACCAATTCTCCTTCCTCACCCTTCAAAATTCCTGAAAGTATTTCTCTGACCTTTTTCTGTTTTAGTTTCATTTCTTCACATTCTCATGGATATCTTGTACTTACCTTAATCATGCAGTTTACCTTATTGCACCATATTTATTACTTATTTCATTTCATAGAAAATCAATGTCGTAAGTGCAGGAAGCTTTTCTTTTTTTTAGATCCTTGACGTGAGAAATAATGTAGGAAGCACGGTAGGTGCTGGGTAAACATTTGCCAAATGAATGGAAAAACAAGAACAAAAACAAAAACAAAAACACAAAAACAACAGCACCAACAACAAAAAAACAAAAATGGGCAGCGCCAAACACAGAAATTGGGATAATTTCAGAAAATAAATAAATAAATAAATAAATAAATAAATAAATAATGAGACCGGAAATTAAAAAAAAAAATTGGGATAATTTCTTAGAAAAGACAAATACTTGACTAGATTAAATTTACCAACCCCTAGGTTGTTGTTTGGAGATTTAGATAGTGAATACAGTATTCCCTTTGTAGAGAGGACTTAGAAAAATGTCAGGAGAAAAATCAGTGAGAGTTCTCATACTGTCTCTATGTCCAAAGTTAGAGAGGGGCTATGAGTTAGTCAAGGTTATATTTTTGTAGGAGAAAAAGATAACTCTGTAGCGAAGTTGTCTGCCAGTATTTCCTTTCAGCAAGACATAGATCAAGTTTTCCTATTTCTTCTTCCCCACGGCACTGGTTGGCTCACCCCTGAGACTGAACCACATACCAGGTGGCCCTGCTGAAAGCTATGAGGAGATAAGAACAGCTTTGCAGGGACAGATGATTCATTTTCTCAAACTTCACCCATTTGTACATTGAGGATAATAGTACAGCCTGCCTCATAGAGATGTTGGGAGGATTAAGGAGTTCAGAGAGATAATAAACATAAAAGAGCATTGAGCAGCTGTTTCAGGATTCAGTCTGAAAAGCAGAGGGAGATGCTCTGTAAACGCTCCTCTCATTCACCCAGCCTTCATCTCCAGCCCACACTCCGAACATGCAGATTCTAAAGGGCAAATGGAAAAAGTGGGGTGCAAGTACTGGGAGCTTTTTCAGGCCTATACTATGGTATCAAGATCAATTTTTGTAGGTTACCCATGTCGCTGGCATTTTCTCAGCACCAACAGCACTAACCCCACAGACATGTGAGCCAGATAAAAAGCCCCTGATGCACCTCTGAAGAAATGTTTATTAGACTGGGAAGCCATGATAACCCCCATAGCAAAGGACATGAAAGCTGCCCCACATTTGATGATCTAAGTTGAGATTATCCATTTTGTGGACTTTTAGGGGTATGTTTTAGAAATCAAACTGCCTTGTACAAAATAGACACTGGAAAAATAACCACTAAATCAATTTAAATAAAATTGAATACAAGTCCTGTCTTTTCATTCAAATATCCAGACTTTGTGGCTCTTTTTTTTCAAACAATATGGGTAGGTATATGTTTGGGGGCTGCTGTTAATGTCCATACTGTTGTATTGTGGTAATCAATGGCAGCAAACATAATGGACATTTAACTAAAAATTAGCAACGACAGCAAAGAAAATATGTATTAAAATTGTAAAAGTGTTTTGGGAAAGCTGAATTTTAACCATCTGCTAAGTAGTTAGAAATGTTCTGTAGCTATGATAAATATGAAATATCTTTATCTGTATGTGAAGACTAATGGATAGAACAAGAATTCTGATGAGATCTCAGGAAATTACAAACATAATTCATGAAATAAGAAATTTTAATTTTTTGATGAAGATTTGTGTTTTTTCCTTTAAATAAATTCATTAATTTACTCACACTTTTTCTGAAAATAGAAAAGATAGGACCTGATACAACAATGGAACTCTTATGACCTACATTTTAGCTAGGGAAGCTTTGACTTTTTGTGAATAAAAAAAAATTGCTCAATATTTCTGATCATATATTAGGATATCTAGCATTTTCCCTTTGAGACACAAGTCTTAAAAAACTCATACTTTAATTATTTAGATGCAAATTAAATAAAATTTGCAATATTTCAGTCCTATACTTGGGGTAGTGCATTTGTACTATGGCTAAGGATTTTCTCAATAAATCCTTATTCATACAACTGGTAGTCTTGGGGTTAGCAAAGCAGCTCACCTTATCTATGGATTAACTGAAAATATATCAGTGTCATTTCAAAAGCTGAAAAAGTAATAGTTAATTTGGATCCATTGAATTTCGTGCTACACTCTGATTTGTTCCATTCAGGATTCTGTAATCCTGGCTTGGATAGTATTTAACTGTATTCTTATTTTACTGATTATCTTGCTTCAAGGAATTTTTAAAACACATTCACATTTATGTAACTTTGTGAAGTTTTACACTTTTTTCCCCTTTTCTCAATACTGTAACACTGAGTCTCTTTACTTTTCATTTGTTTCCAATGGACTTACTTTACTATTTCTATAAATTAGTATATCTCCCAATTTTGTATAACTTGTTTTGAAATTTCTAGTCATTTTGGACCCATCAAGTGGCCCATTTCCAGTAATTTTGATATCTTGATTTAAAAACAAAGTGACCCACGCTTTGTATTTTCTAAGAGCAAGTGCATACTTTGTTTGCATAATTCTACCTTTGATTTACAATACTTTGGTTTTAGTAATTTAACTCCCTCTTTCTCTGCAATTCTGCATCGTCTAAAGGCTAAATGGATACAATTTTGTAGCAACTTCTCAAATGTGTTTCTAATCAGAATGCCACAGCACCTTTTCATTAGACAGATGTTTCCAATGTTATGTTCTTTACTGGAAAGCTCATTATTTTGCATTTACCTATAGTGAACTATATTTGCCACATATTAGCACAAACACTTCGATGTTTTCAATCTTGATATTTCCTTTACAATATCTTTCTTTGCTTTTCTAGTCATTTAAAAATTATCTACAAACAAGCAGGGTAAAGGTGAGGTGAATCCTATCTGGTCTAGTTTATATGTTTTGCAAAGAAAGATGAATTCTGAAGAAATGTAATAGAAGGAAAAGAAATAATGATGGAGCTGAATCTATATCTTAGCTCTTTGGCTTTCCCACAGCACCACCATTTTACTGCATATCATGATAATAACAGGAGTAAAACAGAACGTATGAGAGGAGCTAACAGTTGCATATAGTGACCTTCCCCCTAAACATGTGATGATCCCCTCATTGTCTCAAAATTACAGGGGAAGTATATTTATACATTTCAGTGAATTGGCTCAAAAACTTCAATATGACTTTAAATTGTGTTAATGGGGTAACATGAAGGAGATTACTACATCAGATGACCAAATGAATCAAATCAAGTAACATCTTGAAAAGTTAAGAAAAACTGAAGAAAAAGGATGTGGTAAGTTAGTGAGTTTTCAGTTGCAAGTTTTACTTTATTCCAATTAATTGGTAAATACGATTATAGAAATCTGTCTAAGGAGTATTACAATCTTGGGGATTTGTAGTTATTGGATGCTATTATAGCCAGGGAATCCAGAATGACCACCGCCTTCCATGTCAATAATCTTTCCTAGATGAATTACTACCACAAACCACACTAGTGGAATAAGTGTCAAGGTGACTTTTTCAGCTAATATATTAATAAAGAGTTTCCACTAAACTTGGATTAGAGAGTGTTTCCTGTGCCTAAAGATTTAAGTGGGGACTCCAAGTAAAGACATTCTCTTGACTCCATATTCTGAATTTTAGAGCCAATCTCTGGAAGCAGAGAAAGAGTGAGGGGGAAAAAAAAAGAGAAAAGCAAAATCTTTGTATCTAATAAGCCATCCACCTCCATGGAGTGGATGAGAAAGCTTCCTTGTTTGGCCCCCAGCAACAACTTAGAAGTGGTCCTTCTAAGTACCACTTACCACATGGAGGTGAGAAAATGGGAATTTTCAAGAGACATAAAGAAAACTGCATCAAGCATATCTTTGGGTATTTTAAAGCATGGTGATTCCATATGGACCATTGATGTTCTGGTAATCTAACAAAATATAAAACTCCATTTTTTCCTCCCAGGAGAACGCTAAGAAGATGGGCAGAAAACAAAGCTTCCTGGTGTGAGGTTGTGGTAGAAGATTCCTGGTTGATCAATGTATAGAAGATGAAATGGATTCCAGTTGTGGGAAGGAAGAAGTAATGCAGTCAGAAGTCCTGAATTGTCTTGAATTATATGTAGAAGCTAGCCAGACAGTAAAAGTGGGGAGGGGACATTTCAGAGCAAAGGGACAGATTGTCAAAAATTATAGTTTTGTGTTGTTTTATTTTACTGTGGAACTATAAGCTGTTTGATTTGGTTGGATCATACAGTAGAACAATTATGTAACAACCGTTCACTGGGATGTCCAAAAGGCATTCTCTCAGACTTGTTTTAGATCCTTTATGATTAGAGAATATAACTCTCTTAAGATTCCTTGAGTTTTCAACAACCTTACTCTGCTACTTTTGTGAGGCATGCATTTTTATCCTGGGTGTAATTTTGGATAAAATATTGCATTTTTTTCTGTCTTAGACCAAGCATATATAAATAGGGAAAATACAATACTTTATTCGTAGGCTCGTTGGAGCATATATGAGATTATGTCTTAAAGTGTGCTCTGTAACCTGGAAAAGGCAATATAAAAGTTACTTATTAAACTGATGAAATCTCTGCCATGTCTTCTATTTTGTGCCATATAAAAATTTAAATCTTTAAAACATGATATTCAACAAATGTAAACCATTTATATCACTCACTATATACAACTATTTTTTCAAATGATTCAACTCAATAAAAGTGATTATCTTTAAGAAAAGTCTTAAAGCACAGATGCCAACTATATGGCATATGTGACTTAATTCCCTACTTGTGCTCTCAAAGACAACATCACTAATTGATAACAACACTTTTCCTCCTTGTCTGGATGGAGTCTCAAAATTCTTCTCAAAATTCTAAGCAGCCAAAACCAATAGGGAAGAGTTGGCTCTTGAAATCTATTATTATTTCCCTTAGCCAAATGAAATTTTGATGGGATTATAGCCAGAAGAGGGAAGAGGGTATTTGTCTCCCCTGCAAGCCATCATTGTAAACAACTTTGTTATTCAGTAAAGGAAAAAAAGTATTGTGAGGTGTTTTCTTAGCAAAGCAACAAGATACACACTTTTTCAAAAATGGGTTTTTTTAAAAAATCTGATTATTGATTGGTTAATTTCCTCCAAAATTCAACATGGTTTCATATCAATTGTGCTAGTTTTAAAGTGATGACTATGAAATGAATAGGTTTGTGCCAAATAATAAATACAAATTCTAGTAAAAATATCCCTAAGCAGATCAGAACAATTTTCTGAATGAAGTCTAAACTATAGGCAGATACATTAACATGCTATAACCATGTACACACACACACACACACACACACACACACACACACTCTTACCGAGTCATTGTCAGATACTATTTTCATGCATCATTTTGATGCTGCTTAATGCAGGATATATTGAAGAGCTATTATCTAGTCTTTTCAAAAGTACCCAGTAAATAACGTGCCCAATTTCACTTTTTCAAGGATAAAAAACTGGGGACGTTGAGACATATAGTGGTTGTCTTTTGAGTGTGTTGCAATATAAACAAAAATCCTTTTTAAATTGGTCAGTACTTATTAACTGATATACTCAGAGGGATGAGCGGTGCCAGGGAAATAAGACACAGCACAAGGAAGAAAGGTGTTTGCTTCCGCAGAAGTTTTGCTACAGAGGAGCTAACAATAAGGATAAGACCTAAATAGATATTTTTACTCATTCTAACTTGGGGCTTACCCTCCAGTGGACCAGCACAAATGTGCCCAGTGAGCCACAAGATACTCCGTCAGTCCCTCTGTCCACTGAGACCTGGGATTGTGGGATTTTTTTTTTTCTCTCTTCATCAGGAAGGTTCATCTCATTTTGCTCTGCCTCCTGAAGAATCATTACTTTTGCTGATCCAGGTGACAGAATTATGGCACAAAGGTATAAGGAAGTGGATTGTTTTAAGATCAAAGTAAAACAAAAAAAAATTCTACTTACTGCCACCTTGTGTGTGAATGTAAGTTTGCCAAGAAGCTATATTTGTATGACTGTGTGGGTGAAAAGGGCTGTTCTATCTGCATTTCAACCAATATATAATATAACACTGGCTTCAGATACATTCTATAATGAAGAGCACATTTGAGATTTCTCTTCATCTGTGGCCCAATAAGTGGATACACTTGCTCCAGTGACCTAATTCTTTCAGTTTTATTCATTTAATATATGCAGGCCAGAGAGCTAGAGACCCAGCCCAGCAAGATGCCAGTTTTTCTTGGACTAGATGATAGGAGCAAGACAGAGGACTGATAACCCTGCACACTCAGACGTCCTGGGGGGAGATGTCAGATCAGATCAGATCAGATCGAAAAGGCAACCTGATAGAAATAGAAGAGAAAAATATTCTTATTCCAATCTCTGTCAAGCATTCATCAGTTCTTTCAATTCTTTGTAGCCAGTATACTGATGAAAGTCACATGTAGCCATTTCTTTCTTTAAAGTATGTAAATAAAGAATGAGTAGGGTTGGGCTTTTGAAGAAATTTTATAGAGACATTATTCCATGATTTGGGGATGTAAATTTAACTCTACTTAGACATTTCCCCATGGTAACAAAAGAGGAAGTAGTAGGAACATTGAAAGTTAAACATTTGAGCATCAGAATTGGACAGAGAGACTTAATCAAGTCCTATCTCTTCTACTCACTAGTTACGTAGTTCTAAATTCTTAGTCTAGCAAAAGTCACTAGCACCACTGGAAAAGAAAGTGAGACAATGCTTGCAATGTGTTATGTTTCTGTATGAATACATTTTCTGCAACTATCTTACGAATAATACATTTAGAACATTTATCTTTTAAGCATTCAATCAACCAAACACACTCTCAACACCCTTCCCCACCTCCCCCCTCCACACACATATTGAGTGTCTACTGTGATCCATGCACAGGAACATAAAAATTGAAAAAAAAAATTATCACATTCTCAGACATCTAAACTTAAAGGTTTTCACTTACTTATCAAGACTTTTACAATGCCAGCAGCTTGCCTTCAATGGATAAAGTGTAATGCATATAACAATGGCACAAGGCATTGACACGACGACAATTAGGCAACCTAGAGCTTCTCAACAAACAACCAGCAGAGAGTCTAGTGTTCAAGGAGAAAGTAAGTTTTCTAGGTGTCAGCTTCTTGAGGCTGTTGCTCCAAAGGAGGTCATTGCCCAGAGTAATGAGAACAGTTGGGAATCTCTCCCATTCTCTATTGCCTGAAGGTCAACAGCCATCTGGTCTAACCCATGCTGGCTTTCCAATTGAGAGTGAAAACAGATTTTCTATCATGTCCAAGAACAAAGGGCATGGCTGAATCGTGGAAAATGTAGATGACACAGTTGCCTTCATCCATACAGAATGTGTATCTCAATTTTCTGAAAATGCATTCTTGGGCAAAGTATCCTATGATTAAAAGGCACAAGTATAAGGGACATCAGAAAGAAGGGAAAGATGAGCTATGCACTGGAATCCTCTTGGAATGATAAGGCGATTACAAAAATGAGAAGTTCTTCATTGGGTAATAAATCAAAGTGCTATCTTTCAAACATAGAGAATAAATTCACCAATCAATGAGTGTCCTACCCTTTGCAAATAATAAAACAGAAGTTATACACTTTAGTACTGTGTACTCTGAACCTTTTCTCTGCATTTTCCTAAAAGAAAGCTGACATCCTGATCAGGGCACTGACCAACAGATTAAAATCACTGACTATGAGTGTCCTTTTATTTTCTTGGCAGGCCACTGCTGATCCAGCAGTAAACTGTCTTTTCCCCTTTCCCAGACACTGGTTAATAAATATCACCTGGTGATAAAACTGTCCAATTTTCTTATAACAAAAACTACAAACATGAGAAGAAAATGCTGAGCTTGGGTAGGATATCTTATCTCTGTTAAATATTACAGATACATTACAAGGTCCTGTGCACTTGGTAAAATGTTTAAAATAAATACCCAAGTGCCAAATATCTTGTTCTTTCCAATTTATTTGAGGGATATTAAATATGTTACAATTAATTTCATATTCCGTATTAAGACATTTCATTTATATGCTCAAAACTACAGGGGTCTCTGTAACAGCCCTAAGTAATTCCATTTTGCAGTACAAGGGACATTGTTAATGTTCAAAGATTAGAAAATACACCCTCTTTGATCTTTGCTAGTTATTGAAAGACAGCGTTCAGATACTAGGAATGTATTTTTCTTCGAATAGTTGATTTCTCCAAGAGGAAGATGTGATTAAATAGAATACACCAGACTTAATAAGACAACAAAAGAACTGGCAATTTCTTTTCAGCTTTCTTCATTCTAGCATCTAAAAGCTGTTTGCCTTGGGATTTAGAAATTGAGAGAACAAGTTGCTGACCCTAGAACTGAACAGCCACATTAGTTATTTTGGTGATTCCAGTGTTGAAATGGAACATGTGCCAGAGGCAGGCACACTTTGCAGAGTGGGCATTTTGTACAGTTTATTTTAATTGATGGTTCAGCATATTGGTTGGGCATCTGTACGGATGCTTTAAAAATGAAAGAAATTATTGGTTGCTTTCTAGTAATGAGAATGGAGATTTAGAAAGGAATCTGCCTTTCTCTGATACTACCAGCATATTTTTGAGAGTCTCTCAATGTTTGCAACCTTTCTTTGTAACCCTTGATTCATTTAATCATTCATTCTGCAAATATTTATTAATAGTCTGCTTTTGCCAGATGTCATGGTAGGCACTAGAGTTTTGCTTATGTCCATGACCTCTTTTAATGGAGATTATAGTTCATTGGTAAGGATTTATTGCTAGGGATTTGGAGCCCTAAGCAAAAGTCTTCACGAGTCTAATCTATTATTCCCTTTAAAATAAGCTTCTGCAAATTTAAAAATACCTTCCTATGTGTGCCTGTGAAAAAGGAATGGGAGATAGCTGAGGCCAGGCTCTCTGTCACGAGCTGTGCCATGTTTTGCTAGATCATTGCTGCAGTCTCAGTGCTCTGCAGGAATAGACCATCTGAGGACACAGCAGGCAGCTGGCCATCTGCAATTCAAAGAGAGAAACCTCCGGAGAAAATAAACCTGCCAGCACCTTGATCTTGGACTTTTAGCCTCCAGAGCTGTGAGAAAATAAATGTTTGTTGTTTAAGCCACCCAGTCTGTGGTATTTTGTTATGGCAAACTAATGTAGTAGACTAATACAGAGAAGGTTGAAAAATGGAGAACATTTTTTTTTTTTGGAGCCTATTACAATAGATGAAAATTCATGCCCTCTTACACCCTAAGTTTCAGAGTAAGGAAATAAATACTACATGTAATGAAGTTAGGAAATTATACAATATGTGAGAAGGTAATAAATGCTATGGAAGAAACTCGAAGGTTGTATAGAACTAGGAGATCAGCAGTGCTGGGGACAGAGGGGTACAGGTTTCAGTACCAAACAGGAAGAGCAGGGAGGCATCATTGAGAAGGTACCAACTGTGCACTCAGAAGAGAGGAGACTGTCTGGGGGAGAGCACTACAGGCAGAGACAGGAAGAGTATAAAGGCTCTGAGGTGGAACGTGAGGGTTGGAGGCACAGCAGGAAGCCAAGAGAGTTGGCATGCACCATGAGAATGGTAGAAAGGAGTCTGAGGCAAGATACAGGTCAGCCTGCGTGGGGCCTTATAGATCAAGTAAAGACCTCGGATGTTGCAAGGACTTTTATGCCTCTCATGTTATCCTTTCTCAAAATCTGTTCCTTCTGTTTGTTCTACAAATTCCCAGTTTCTGAAAACCAGCTACTGACCTGGTCTAATTTTCTATTTTTTTCATAAGGTAAAAGATATTTGAATGATATTCCACATATCACTCAGATTCTACTCTTGATTCTGAAGTTTTTGTTTGTTTGCTTTTACTAACATCATCTTCTCCCTCAATTACCTAATCTTTGGCTTTCCTAAATTGGGAAAATTAATATGCCATAAGTTTCTTTATCAGCTATATCCCCAAATGATGGTTAACTGAGCCAAGGTCATATTGGAAAAGGGTTTGAAATGAGAATACATGGACACAGTGAGGGGAAAAACACACACCGGGACCTATTGCAGGGTGGGGGGTGAGGGATGGGAACTTAGAGGACAGGTCAATAGGTGCAGCAAACCACCATCCACACATATACCTATGTAACAAACCTGCATATTCTGCATGTAAAGTAAAATCTAAAAAAACTTCTATATATGACTTTAAAAATGTTTTTCAAAAAAAGAAAGAAAAAGGGTTCGAGGCATGGGACCATTACTTAAGGAAGGGTGCACAACGGTGTTGTAAATCAACACTGTAAGGCTGATGTGTTCTGTGGGAGAGGGGCTCTGCAGAGGGATCTGGCAGGCTGGAGGAGATCCATGGTATTGTTCAGGAGATAAATGAGGGATAGGGTGACCTGAAGAAGAGAAAGAGAAGCCACTGAGGGAACACATGTAAAGACGACAACGTTTAAGTTTAGTGTTTGTTCTATGAACAACAGACACCCCCAAAAATGTTATCTCAGTATATACATTGTGGTAGTATCTAACTGTTTACTTGTATAATACCAAAAATCTATGTGGATTATAATTCTTAATAAAGAATTTCACCATTGTGGGACATGAGAAATAAATGTAACAAGTAAAAATGCCTTAAATCAAGTGATTACTTTCATCTCCAATTATGTATCCTCACACTGAAACTCTGCATTAGGTGTCACAGACCTCGTTCTGCAGAAGCAAGCATATATGAAAAAGGTTATTGATTTAAACTTGCATAGACACAGGAATTGATTCAATCTGAAAACAAAAACGCGAGTGCACGTGCGTGTGTGTGTGTGTGTGCGTGTGTGTGTGTAAAATTTCTTCATTACAATGAAAGACTATGCCATCTTCAAGTTGGACAATACCTAAGGGCCTTCAACTCTAACCTCTTTATTGTGTTAATATGAAACACAGAGGTAGGATAGGAGAGTGGCTTATTCTTGGGAGTCCCAAGATAGTCACCCTATCCCTCATTTATCTCCTGAACAATACTATGGATCTCCTCTAGCCTCCCAGATCCCTCTGCAGAGCCCCTCTCCCACAGAATACATCAGCCTAAGAGTGTTGATTTATAACCCCATTGTGCACCCTTCCTTAAGCAATGGTCCCATGTCTCGAACCCTTTTTCTTTCTTTTTTTAAAAAACATTTTTAAAGTAATATATGGAAAGCAGTCATGTCTCATGACCTCATCCGTTACTGTTTTGAAGGTATGGTGGTTCCACAGCTAGAGAGCCTGAGTTCAAATATCAGCACCACTACTTACTTGCTGTGACCTTGGGCAAGCCACCATATCTCTCTCTGTGTTGGGTTTCTCATCTGTAAAATACAAATAACAATAATACATATTTGTGGTTGACTGTCTAATGAGCACAAAGTCTGCCATCCCACTATATACTCATCTCTGTAATGTGACTTTGCTAATCCTCTTGACCAAGGGGGTAATCTCTTTGAATCTGGGCTAACCCTGTGACTTGTTCTGACAAATAAAATGCACTGTAAATGACGTTATGTGAATGACCTGGCAGATTCTGCTTTTGCTTTAAAAGCACCATATTGTGATGAAGCCCAAGATTTTTGAAAGAGAAGCCAGATGTCAGACATATGAGTTAGGCATCTTAGTCCTCCCATCCCAGTGAATCCTCCAGAGGAATGAGGTTGCACTAGTGATCCTAGGAGAAACCAGAGATAAACTGCCAAGCAAGCCCCAAATCGCAATTAATAATAAATAATTGTTACTTTAAATCGTTTGGTTTGAGGTTTTAGTTAAAGGGTTTTTAAATATAGCACTGTCTTATAAGATTGTTTTGATAATTAAGTGAATTAATACTTTGTAAAGTGCTTCTAATGAAGTGCCTGGTGTATAGTAATTGCTCAATAAACTCTGGTGATGATGTTTAATTATATTGGTTTTTATAGGCCTGGCAAGTTAATTAATGGTTGATGAGCAACTTGCGAGCATCCAAGCCTTTTGGCTTTTTACCTACTACTTATTCTACCTGAATGAGCTTTTGTTGACTGATATTTATATGTACAAACTTGGTATACATTCAAACTGAGTGTTTTCCATTTATATGCTTATAGATTTATGCATAGATTTTTATTTGAACTGTGCACACAACTGTTCAAATATGGATTTCGAGATCATTCCCAGTTAAATCATGTCTTCCAGATTATAAATCATACTTTATTAATGTTTCCTATTGATTTTTCATATAACATTTTATGTCCCTTCAAGGGACATCTATAAGTAAGTATTGAGGTAAGACTATCAAGGAAGAAGTCGATTTCTCTTGCCACTCACTTTACTTTGCATCAAGTTGAACTCTCATATAATGTCTTACAGAAGATTAAAAATTAACGGTTTCTCATGAAAATGTTAACTAGAAACATTTTCCTATTATAAATCAATGATTGTCAGTGCACAAGGTTCAGTAACTAGATAATTTTTATTTGAATCACTAATTCTCTTTACTGTCATTGTGAGCTAAGATTTTATGTATTTTCTTAATATTCAGAAACTGTATTTTGTTGATATTCAGAAAGCACTGTTAAACTTGTTTAAATAAGGAGAATTTCGAAATTAAGGAAGAGGTGGTGATTTTCACAGTGTGACATGCATTCATCAGGTATTTACTGAGCACCCTGTTTCAAACAAAAAAACCATCATGGTGAAATAGACATACAAGCTTCTGTTCTCATAGAACTTACATGTAGAAGAGACAGATAATAACTAAGTAAAGAAGTGAGCAGATTAATAAGTAGGACAACTCAGGCGGCACGTGTGATGAAATCCTACAGAGCAACAGGAAATATTTATGAGGAAGTGCTAATAACACTTGCTGGTGAATTGGGTGTGGGTGTGGGAGGAAGGAAGAACTACTGTTTTTGACTTTGCTTGTAGATGGATGGTGATGCTATTCACTCATATAGGGAATTCCTATTTACTGACATAGGGAGCAGGCTCAGAAAAGAAGGTAAATCAAGTATCCTAGTCTGGGTCTGTTGAATTTTAGACACTTTTGAGGTTATCCATGGGAGTTAGATTGATCACCTTGTCACTCTGGGGAGAGTCTTGGCTGGACATCCACATTTGTGAGTCAAAAGGCAGTAGATGAAAGCACAGAACTATCTGCCTGGGAGGTATAGTCACCTTACTGTCTTGAGCAGTTTGAAGGAATCCCAACATTAAGACTTTAAGACCAGCCTGACCAACATGGTGAAACCCTGTCTCTACTAAAAATACAAAAATTAGCCGGGTGTGGTGGCGCTACTCAGGTGGCTGAGGCAGAAGAATTGCTTAAATCTGGGAGGTGGAGGTTGCAGTGAGCCAAGATTGAACCACGACACTCCAGCCTGGGTGACAGAGTGAGACTCTGTCTAAAAGAAAAAAAAAAAAAAAAAAAAAGATTGGGGCATGAGAAAATTCTAACTTCCTTCAGGAACAGAATCAAATA